CTCATCCTCCTCCACCTCCTCCTCCTCCTCCACCTCCTTCTCCTCCTCCCCCTCCTCCTCCTCCTCGTCCTCCTCCTCGGGCCCTGGACATCGAATGCTGCTGCGTTTGCGCAGGATTGGCTGGAATGCCCTGAGCTTTCACCTTCAGCTGCATGATCTCGGCGCCACAATTCGTGGATCATCCTCGCGAATCGGCGATGGGCAGCACGTGCCCATGGCCAGCGATCGGCGCCGACGAGATCCCGCGACATCTGGGCCATGGACCTCGCGATTCGCCCCTCGAGCGACAGGCGCTGTCACCATTCTCTGGGCCCCGGAACCCTCGCTGACCCCTCCAGCTCGAGAAGCCTGCGGCGGCCTCGTGACGCGACGAGGTCGGCGTTGGTTTCTGACACCGCGCGGATCGTCAAAACATGAGCGGTCGCGGCTTCGGGGGCGGCCAAGAGGGGGGCGTCCAAGAGGGGGGGCGCAAATCCTGGCCAGCGGCACGTGCGCGGCCCAAGGGGGGGGCCGGGGACGCATTGAAATGAGAGGAGGCGCCATGAAATCTGGGGAGATATGATGGCCCCCTCCATGAGATATCTCCCCCCCTACAATCATCGCCCCCCCTCCTTGCCGCCCCCCGATTGAGCAGGGACCGACCGTCCCGGCATTCCTATAGCTATACCACGAAATGTTCTTAGAACCCACAAATGTTCTAAGAACCAAAACAGTGTTCTTAGAACATAAACCCGATGCGTTAAAACAAGACGGTCCCAGCCAGAAATGTTCTGAGAGCATGTCGCGGGAACCGCAAAAGGTTCTTAGAACACTGCTTGGTGGGGCTATGAGCGAGCCGGGACGCTTCGCCACTGCTTGACCCGACGGCTTCGCGACAGCGCACATCGTCCAACCTCGGCCGGTCCCAAGCCCCCGGCGGCGTCCGACCTTGAAGGGGCCCTGAGACACACAAATAAATACACACAAATAAAAGGATTCCCCATATTTTCCCATATTTTCTGGGTTTGTGTCTTCCCCCCCACTTCCCATACTTTCCCATATTTTCTTGGGAATCGACGATTAATTGTGTCCGTGTGTTTCTTCCCTCCTGAGACCCGCAGCGCCCGCGCCGCGGCCGCGCCGGCAAGAGCCACACGGGCCGGCCGCCGCGGCCGGCCCGGAAATTGCGGCACCTCCCGCCCCTCACGGCGGCGGCCGCGGGCATACCCGGCGAGGCGTTGACCTAAGGAACCCTAAATAAGGAACGAGGCCCCTTGCTTCCATAAGTTGTCAACTTCGATTTCGCATCGAAAACCTAAGGAAAAGCCAAGGCAAGCTGCGAAACAATTAAGGAACACGGAGCCCCTCCCCAACGAAAAGGGTTCCTTCTTCGGGGCCTCGACTGTACCTGGCGAGGCCCAGCGCCGAGCCAGGAAGGCCGCGCGGAGCTCCGAGAGTCTGCGTCAAAGGGGCCCAGGGACGCGCAGAGGAGTGCAAGTCGACGCTTCGTGGTGTCCGCGTGTCGTTGCCTCCTGATATGCTTATAATTATGCCACGTATCTGGTTGCCCGATGGATCGCAGGACTGTTTTGAGGCGCGCGCGCGCGCGGCCGCAGTACTCGGAGTCGGCCGCCTGCCCTCGCAGGGGGCCCAGGAGCTGGAGCGAGGCGCCGAGAGAGGGGCGAAGCCGCCAGCGTGCTGGGGGACCTCCGACGCCGAGCCTCTGCCTCCGCAGGGGCGCGTCCAGGAGGAAGGGGGGGCGTCCTCCTAGCAGTCCTCCTCCTCCTCCTCCTCCGCGACTCCGCCTCCTCCTCCTCCTCCTCCTCCTCCTCCTCCTCCTCCTGCTCCTCCTCCTCCTCCTCGCAACTCATGGCCAGAGCCAGCTATACACCTACACCGATCGCTGGCCAGGCCCATCCTGGGCACGGGTTCGGTGCACGCGCCCTCCTGGCCCGGCGAAGAAGACATGCACGCCGGTGCTGAGCACAGGATCGGCCTGGCCAGGATCGGTGTGGAGGTTTGCAGCTGGTGCCCTCCGGCCAGAGGTATGTGCTCGGCCGAGGAGGGGCCCGGAAACTTCCTGGAAGAAGAGGGGGGTCATGCTGCTCCCATCGCACGTAAGGACCACGCCCCAGAAAAAATAAACTCGAGCACCCAGAGAAGCATCGAAGCGGTGTCGAACGAGTAGCGCCTCCCAGGGCCCAACACGTGAAAACTCTCCAGTTTGGGTACTTACCTGGTGCCCGAAATTCTTCCTGGTGGTCAAGGCTCAAGTAGGTTGGCACATCATAGGAGGGGGGGCAGGAAATCCGGGAGGCAGCATGGCCTAGGTCACGAGGTCGAACCCCCCGTAGTCATCACCCCACTCCCGGCCGCCCCCGATTCTCTCCAACGCAGGGCCCATGGACCTCTGGACAAGACTGAGACGATGGGACAACGTTTAGGTCGGACATGTCCTCCTACAGGCGGACTTCGGACGAAAAATTAACAATAGCCGAAAAATAATCAAAAACAGTCTAGCATAGTGAAAAAATCGTCCCCGCACTACGTTTCGACGATTCTTGAATATTCCACCTGTAGAGGGCCGACTTAAGACAACGTCGGACCAGGACACATCGGGGATCCCCGAGATCCAGCGGTCCTGGAGGACGCATCGAGCACCGAGGCCGTCCCAGAGCGCCCTGGAACGCACCGAGAACGTTCTGGACTGAAGTCGGGCGCGTCCCTCCACAGGAGGAATATTCAAAAATAGTAAGGAAATTGTAAGGGGACGATTTGTGGATCATTTCTGAATCAATTTGAATATGTTTGGGGTATTCTTACTGTCAAAATCCGCATGTAGGGGAACGTGCCCGGCCTAATTCTGGACCGCTCTGGCACGAGCCACCCCGGACCCTGGCCCCGCCCGTTCCGCCCAGGGAACCTCTGGACCTCTGGACGAGACTGCTGGGGGTCGGTAGGGTTGGGTCGGGCACGTCCTTCTGCAGGCGGCCTTCCAAGGAAACTTGGAACATAATCAAAACAGAAATAGCTTGAAACATCGCCAAAACTAGTCGACCAATCCTGCCCAGACTACTTCTCTACTGTTTCTGAACATTCCTCCAGTAGGGGGACATGCCCGACTTCATCGGGGATCTGCTGACCCGGGTCAATCCAGACCCAGGTCAACCAGGCCTTGCAAGATCCTGCAAGATCCTGCACCCAAACCCAGGTCAATGCGAAGGATCCTGCATGGTCCTGCTCCCAAACCCGGGTCACTGCGACCCTGGCCCTGCACGATCCTGCAAGATCGGGCGCTCTGGCTGACCCCCGTTTGCATTGACCCCCGTCTGAAGGCTCCCGGCTTCACGTTGGGGGGGGGCACCGGCTCGGGGGGGGGGGGGGGGGCCTATCGAGCTGGAAACGGCGACGCCTCGCCGAGAGGTCGACGACGGGCCCCCGAGGGGGCGAATCCGCACGCTCCAGTATGGGCGGGGCGGGATGTGGAGCCCCATGCCGGCGAGGAAGGGGCGACACCCAAGACGCTCTAAGAGGCGCCCGGGGCCGCCAAGAGGCCTTCAAGTCGCTCCAAGAGGCCTCCACTGGGGAACCCCTGTGTGCTGCCCACTTCCCTGATCGAGGATATTCCTCTGGGCATCGTTTCTGGATGGGCTGGTGGGGTTACTTTTTGGTGAGCAGCCGAAGGCGAGCGCGCCAACGGCGAGTAAGGTCCGAGCGGGCCGCGCGTGGGTCGAATTACCTAGCACGGGGCAGAGCAGGGCCTACCGCCGAAGCCTCAGTGCTGAAGCAGCAAGAGGAGCCGGGGGGGGGCTGCCAGGGGGCTGCAAGCGTGCGACAACCTGAGAGCAGGGCCACCAGGTGTGAATTGAACTGCAGCGAATTGACCAACCGCGGTTGGGTCGCAGCCAAAATGGCGCGGCGCCCTGCCAGGGTATGACCAGGGGGATGCCAGCCCTGGTGGGGTTATTTTTTGGGGGGGTCGCGGGCGGACGCGGAATCGTAGTCGCCGAGCTGAAAGGTCCGGGCCACGGGCCTATCAAATTAGCAACGCGCGAGCCTAAGAGCACAGCCTGGTGGGGTTACTTTTCGGTCGCGGCCACGAGCGAAGAGCGCACGCGGCGAACAGGGTGTCTGGGCCGACGGGCAAGCCTACTTAGCTACAAGACGCGCCGCTAGCCGGCCGGCCCACTCACAAAGCAGCCGTGGGGCTGCGGGGAAGCTGACGGCAGGGGGCATCCTGGGAAGCTCGGGCACGCGCCATGGACAAAATGTCGAGAAATCCGATGCCTGCCGCGAGGCATGATCCACACAGCGACACCTGGTGGGGTTATTTTTTGGGTTCGCGGCTCCAAGGCGAGGGACAAGGAGCGGGCACAACGTCCGGGGCGCGGTACGATGTATATTGGCCGCAGTGGCGTACGCACATGCCAGGGACAAAATGCCCCTCATCGAGACGCAAGACAGCGTCGGCAGGTGACCGGCCCAGACATCCCGGCAGGTGGGGAAGCAAAGGCGCGGCGACCGGCAGCGGAACGGGGGGGAGAAGTCGCCCTTGCGGCGCCAAGCTCCAGCCGAACCACATTCGGAAGCGAGGCCAAGACGGACGACGGGGCACTGTAAAGCCGCAGGCAGAACGAGGATCCGAATGGCCAATGACCAAGCGAAGCCTACGTGCGTGCACATAGGGACAGGCCGTCCAAGACCACGGAAGAGGGAGGGGGGAGAGAGCGAACGCGAGCGACTAACTCAGACTCACTGCAGCACCACGGGTAATCGATGGTGCGGCGAAAGAGGCCTGACTCATCAAGGCTCACTGAAGCTGAGGTGTAGCTGATCCGCGTCAGAACGCCATCCAGTAGAGACCACTGGTGTGCGCTCACGAAGCTGAGCCACCTTCGGCCGGTAGCCAGTGCATGCACATCGTATCCGACTCACGCAGTTCGGGGGCAAGACGATGCAATGTACTGACGGGGGCTGGTCGCTGGGGCTGCTCTGCAAGGAGAACGACCACGAACTGCAGAAGGCTGAACCACTCAATGCAGGGCCACTCACTTGACGAAGCCACACACCGGGTGTCACCGAATGGATGGCTGACAGCCGCACCCACTCCACTCCTGCGACGCTGCCCGTGCGGAAGCCGAATACACCGACGCTGGTGGCGAACCAATGGCTGGCGGCTACCGAGCTGCTGGGCCGTACCGCTCGTAGGCGGCGTGCTGACGGCGGGCCAAGACGTCCTTGTGGTAGAACCATGACCGGGTCGGCGACGAACCAAGGCGAAACTCGGGAAGGAAGGGGGCGCAGCCAAAAGCCGCTGAGCACCGGTGTCAATGAGGGGTGGCGGGGCACCATCCAATAACAGACCACTGGTGTCCGTGCACGAGGCTGGCAACCACCAGCCGGTATCCAGTGCACTTACATCGTATCCGACTCACGCGGCCCGGGGGCACAACGACGCAATGTCCTGGCGAGGGCTGGGGCTGTGGCTGCGCCGAGAAGAGCAAAACGAACTTGGACCGCGGACGGCTGAACCACTCGATGCGGGGCCGCTCACTTGACGAAGCCAATCACCATGTGTATGGTGGACAGCCACACCCACTCACCACCTGCCACGCTGCCCATGCAGAAGCCGGATGCGTCCGACGCCAGGGCATACCGGTGGCTGGCAGCTGCCGAGCTGCTGGGCTGTACCGTTCGCTGGCGGCGTGTTGACTTGCCAAGGCGTCCTCGTAGTAGAACCACGGCTGGGTCGGCGACGAAGGACCGACACTCCCTGGGCAGGTCTCAGGGCGGACGTTTTTCTGCGGCCGATGCAATCTACGATGTTGACCGGGGGGGGCGCAGCCAAAAGCCGCAGAGACGCTGTGAATGAGAGGAAGAGAAGGAGGGGGCGCAGCCACAAGCCGCTGGACACAGATAGAGATACCCTGGGCATCCACGCACAGAACTTCTTGACCACGGGAGGGTGGGGCTGGGCGAGGGTAAATGTCGGTCACCAACCACTGCCGTTCACTGCGCTGTGAAGACCACTGGTGTGCGTGCACGAGGCAGTCAACCACCAGCAGGTAGCTGGTCCACTTATATCGTATCCGACTCACGCAGTTCGGGGGTGCAACGATGCGATGTCCAGGCGAGGGCTGGGGCTGTGGCTGCGCCGAGAAGAGCAAAACGAACTTGGACCGCGGACGGCTGAACCACTCGATGCGGGGCCGCTCACTTGACGAAGCCAATCACCATGTGTATGGAGGACAGCCACACCCACTCACCACCTCCACGCTGCCCATGCAAAAGCCAGATGCCTCCGACGCCAGGGCATACAGGTGGCTGGCAGCTGTCGAGGTGCTGGGCTGTACCGTTCGCTGGCGGCGCGCTGACGTGCCAAGGCGTCCTTGTAGTACAACCATGGCTGGGTCGGCGACGAGGGACCGATACTCCAGGGGCAGGTCGCAGGGCGGACGCTTTCTGCGTCCGATGCAGTCTTTGCTGTTGATCGGGGGGGCGCAGCTAAAAGCCGCAGACACGTTGTGAATGAAGGAGGAGGAGGAGAAGGAGGAGGAGGAGGAGGAGGAGGAGGGGGCGCGGCCAAAGCCGCTGGACACGGAGTCTGAAACACTTGATGCGGGGTCGCTCGACGAAGCCAACCACCATGTATATGGAGGACAGCCACCTCCACTCAAAAACCTGCCACGCTGCCCATGTAGAAGCCGGATGCGTCCGACGCCAGGGCATGCCGGTGGCTGGCAGCTGCCGAGCTGTTGGGCTGTACCGATCGCTGGTTGCGCGCTGACGTGCCAAGGCGTCCTCTGTAGAACGCTTGCTAGGTCGGCGACGAATGACCGATACTCCCTGGGCAGGTCTCAAGGCGGACGTTCTTCTGCGTCCGATGCAATCTAGGCTGTTGATCGGGGGGGCGCAGCCAAAAGCCGCAGAGACGTTGTGAATGAGAAGAAGAGAGGAGGGGAGGGGGCGCAGCCAAAAGCCGCTGAACACAGAGAACGATACACGGGGCATCCATGCACAGAACTTCATGACCACGGCGGGGTGGGGCTGAGCAAGGGCGGTGCGGTGGGTAATGTCGTTCACCAACCGCTGCCGTTCACTGTGTTGTGAAAGAGATGGGGCGCAGGAGGTGGGTTATTTCAGCCACCCGTCACTGCCGTCCAAAGGGAGCTGTCCTGGGGAGGTGGCACAGACGACCCCAGAGACCGCGCTGGCAGTGGCCTCCACCGAGGGAGGCAGTGGCCGCGGTCCCGTGCGGCAGTCGGCCGCAGGGGAGGAAAGGCCTGGCAAGGTCCACGAAACCAGCGTGGGCTGTCTATGTGCGCAGCGCAAGGGTATTGGTGCCCCTCCGCCCCCGCGGAGGTAGCACAGGGCATTGCGGCCAAGGCCGGGCGCTGCAAGGTCCACGAGTCCAGCGTGGGCCGTGTATGTGCGCAGCGCAAGGGTATTGGTGCCCCTTCCGCCCCATCGGAGGTAGCACAGGGTATTGCGGCCAAGGCCGGGCGCTGCAGGTGAAACTGTCTGGGGGGGGTGCGGCGAATGCCGGGCGGAGAGGAGCCGAGGTGGGGAGGGAGGTGGTGTGTGCTGCACGTAGCAGGCAGCACGATAGGTGGTGGGCCGTGGCGATCACCGGTTCGCTGACTGCCTTCGAAGGAGGCGTCGACGCGGTTGCTGGTGGGGTTACTTTTTTGGTTCGCGGCTCCAAGGCGACGGACAGGGAGCGGGCACAACGTCCGGGGCGCGGTACGATGTAAATTGGCCGCAGTGGCGTATGCACATGCCAGGGACAAAATGCCCCTCATTGAGACGCAGGACAGCGTCGGCAGGTGACCGGCCCAGACATCCCGGCAGGTGGGGAAGCAAAGGCGCGGCGACCGGCAGCGGAACGGGGGGGAGAAGTCGCCCTTGCGGCGCCAGGCTCCAGCCGAACCACATTCGGAAGCGAGGCCAAAATGGGCGGCGGGGCACTGTAAAGCCGCATGCGCGGATCCGAATGGCCAATGACCAAGCGAAGCCCACGTGCGTGCACCCAGTGACAGGCCTAGACCTCGGAAAAAGAGGGGGAGAGTGTGAGCGCGAGCGACTAACTCAGACTCACTGCGGCACCCCGGGTGAACGATGGTGCGGCGAAAGAGGCCTGACTCATCAAGGCTCGCTGGAGCTCAGGTGTGGCTGATCCGCGTCAGAACGCCATCCAGTAGAGAAAGACCACTGGTGTGCGTCAAAAATTAAGAGTACACCAGGCTCCCATGATTTGCTACCGAACCCCCCTGACCCAATCCCCCTTAACGCTGCCCCTGGGAGGCGAAAGCAAGATACAGACAAATCCAGATAAAGGTAACTCAAAAATCTCTGAAACCTGGGGGGAGGGTCTGGAGGATGCATCGGGCGCCGCGGCAGTTCCAGAGCGATCCAGAGCGCTCTGAGACCGCTCCGGAGCGCTCCGAGACTGTGCCAGACATGGGCCTCCCAGGCCATCCGTGAAGGACCCCGACAAAGTTCCAAGAGGGTCCCGGGAGGGTCCGAAGAGCCCTCTTGGAGCCGTATCGGGTGGACTGGTACGTCGACGGGCCCACCTCCCCTCGTTGTCGTCGTCGCCGCCGCCGCCGCCGCCGCCGACGCCGCCGCCGCCGCCGCCGCCGCCGCCGCCGTCGTCGTCGTCGTCGTCGTCGTCGTCGTCGTCGTCGTCGTCGTCGCCGCCGCGTCCGCCGCCGCCGCCGCGCCGCCGCCCGCCTCCCGCCGCCGCCGCCGCCGCCGCCGTCGCCGTCGTCGTCGTCGTCGTCGTCGTCGTCGTCGTCGTCGTCGTCGTCGTCGTCGTCGTCGTCGTCGTCGTCGTCGTCGTCGTCGTCGTCGTCGTCGTCGTCGCCACCGCTGTCGTCGTCGTCGTCGTCGTCGTCCTCGTCGTCGTCGTCGTCGTCCTTCTCCTCCTCCCCCCCGCCCCATACATAGCAGATAGCCGAATCCCCGGCACAAACCGAATCCATCGTTTCTCTGATTGAGGGCGTTCTGGACCGCTCTGGAACGATCTATCTTCATCCTGGGCCTGCCTGATGAGCCCTCTTGCTAGCGCTGGCCTTTGCCCTGGACCGCTCTGTTGATGGCCCCTGGGGAGGGAAGCGCCGGGACAGGTATTCCAAGACGTCGGAGGTCCCGGGTGGCACTGGGGACAGCACAACCCAACCCCACCCCCGCCAGGGCCCCCACTCCCGACCTGGTGATCCAGGGGGTACTCGCTGGGGGTGGTGGTGCTTTTGGGGGATCCCCAAACCCCCAGAAGCGCCCCCACACCCAGCGGGGTGGGGTCCTGGCGGGGTGGTGTGGGTTGTGCTGTCCTCAGGTGTAATCAAAATCCACAGTAAGGATGCAAGGCAAGGATGCAGGACCATTGGAAGTCCCATTTGCCGCTCAGGGCTCCTTGGACGCCAGCATCGGCTCAGCATGGGCCGAAGGCGCAGGGATGCAAGGGGGCAGCATTGCTGAAGCAGCGCAAACTCACCGTGGCTTTTGACTGCACCCCTCGGCCCCTTTGGGGACACCAAGAGGTATCAATACCGCTGCTCCCGGGACCTCTCCCCAGGGTGCGTTCTGACCAGGATGTCGAGGCGAACGCAGCGGTGGCGACAAGGGCCTCCCGGGAGGCCGACATAGAGGGAAACCAAGGGAAGCGTAGCGGTATGGGTACCTCTTCCTCCTCGGATCCTCACCGTGGCTCTTGACTGCACCCCTCGGCCCCTCGCTTCCTCTGGAGCCCGCCGAGGCCGGCGGTGCTGACGGGCTCTGCGCGGTGCGCGCCCGCGTTCTCGCAGGCTGCCCGTGCAGAGGGGAACATGGGGCCTCGACGGCCGCAGGGGCTGGTCGCCGACGCCGCCGAGCAAGGGTGGCAGGGACACCGCGCTGCGGCGAGGCCGACCACCGAGGAGGAGGGGGAGCACGGGCCAACCGGCCCTGATAGGGGGGGAAGGGCAAAGTTCCGATGAGCAGTCCTGGCCAACAGGTGCCAGGTGCCAGGAGGGGGGAGGAGGATATAGAGGAGGAGGAGGAGGAGGAGGAGGAGGAGGAGGTGGAGGAGGAGGAGGCGGGAGGGGAAGAGGAGGGCATGGAGGAGAGGAGGAGGATTAGGCGGCTGAGGTTTCTGAAGTATCTGAGGCCTCCTCCGTTTCGTGCCCTGTCGGCTTTGAGGTAGGCCGTATCACTTCCCGCCCCCTAGGGTTGGGCGGGACGGCACACGACGACTGGCGGTGTGCTGCGCGTTCCGTCGTTCGGCGCGGGCGACGACGCAGCTGGTCCGCCCTCCACGTTCCCGCGCCCCCCCCCCGTCGCGGGGACTCTAGGAAGGCTGGTTAAACAACAGCAACAAACACCACATAATAAAGCACGCCTCCTCCTCCCAAAGTGGATCCTCCTCCTCCTCCTCCTCCTCCTGCTCTCCTCCTCCTCCTCCTCCTCTTCCTCCTCCTCCTCCTCCTCGTCCTCCTCCTCCTCGAGCGGAGCGGAGCGTTGGGAGCGAACTACTGGGAGGTGATGCGTGGGGGGGCTAAGAAAGGTGCCCCTCTCTCGGGCCCTAAAAACGCCCCCTTTCTGGGCCCCCTTCAGGGGCCCTACAGGGCCCCTTCTCGGCACTGTCGCACCCGATGAACTCGCGCCCAGGAGCCGCTTCGTATGCGCACCCGGGGAAGGGCACGAGCAGGGCACGGCTGTTTACAGCAAACCCCCAGGGCCGTGCAGTGAACACCAGTGATGGGGATCGGGGTGGTTCTCCCTCCCCTGACCGACATCGGGGAACAAAACATCGGAGAACAAAACAGCGGTGAGCAAGACAACACAGTCGGTGATGTTCGAGCTGCGCCGCCTGGATGGCACTCGGGAAACGAAAAGATGCACAAGCAGCAACGCTCGCAGCTGCGCGCGGACTTATCGGACCGGCGCTGGGCCCCCGTGGCGGCGCCTACAGCACCGCCCCTGACGCCCTCCGCGCGCCAGGGAGGGGAGCCCGACGCCCATCCAAGAAATCCACGCGGACCTCTTGGAAGTTACGACAGAAACCTCACAATCAAACGGTGCAAGTGAGCCAGGCAGGAAGGCGCCGACCCAACGCCTACACCGATGTTGGCCCGGCCCATCCTGGGCCCCCGACGGGCCCTACACCGGTGTTTGGCCCAGGATGGGCCTGGCCAGGATCGGTGTAAGGTGTGGCGCCCTCTGGCCAGGGGCGCGGCAGCTCGGACCGTGCAGGGACGAGGGAGGAGGAAAATGATGAGGAGGAGGAGGAAGAGGACCAGTGTAAACCCAAGAGTCATCAACAATGTTGGATTAAACCCTCCCTGCAACCTCCCTCTCATAGGCCCCTACAACGGTTCATTTCCATTGATGGAACTGCCTCGTTGGAAGACACCCGCTTGAAGACCCTGAAGCATGCCAAGACATTGTTCTCGGGATTCCATCGCCACGGATCATCTTGACTGTTGCGTCTTGACGATCCTGAATCGTGCCAGAACGCCATCCCTAGGACTTCAACAAAGAGAAGCAACGTAACTTTTGCACCCGCATAATCCCGAATCCTTCCAAAACAACATTTCTGGTACGCTGATGATGGAAATTCGTGAAACTTTTGAAAATTGTGTAAACGAATGTGCGCGGCGCAATGGCGAGAGCCACATTTTGAAAAAGAACCGCCCTCAATCCGTGAAACTCTTGCAAAATGATACAACGAATGCGGGCTGCGCTAAGGCGAAAACCACATGTTGAAAACCACTCGCCCTCAATCCGCGAAACTCTTGCAATTTTGTTACAACGAATGTGCGCGGTGCAATGGCGAGAGCCACATTTCGAAAACCACCCGCCCTCTATCCGTAAAGCTCTTGCAAATATTTTCGACGAATGTGCGCGGCGCACTGGCGAGAGCCAAACTTTGAAAACGACCCGCCCTCAATGCGTGAAACTCTTGCAACGTTTAAAACGAATGTGCGCCGCGCTAAGGCGAGAGCCACATTTGTTTGAAAACCACGCGCCCTCCATCTGCGAAACTGCTACCAACCTATAAACTTCAGAGTCATAAGTGGTGAGGGAGTCTCAGGCGAAACGTCCAGCCCGCCCTAAAAGCTGGCCTCGGGGTGCGACGGGGAAAAATCACTGATAAGGAAGAGAAATGAAGGGCGGCAGCCTGCGAGGAGAAGCAGCAAGGAAAATGAAGGGATCGTGGAGCCGCCCTGGAAGCACTGGCAAACACCGCCAAGACCTGGAACACACACACACACACCTCGCGCGCAGCTTCGAGGCGGAGAAAGGTCAGATCCTGTGCGCACGCGGCCGGGCCCTCAGGGGAACCTCCACAGATTCCGGGCGCGCCATCAGCAGCAAACCGTCCGGGCGTGGATGGCGAGGACGAGACACGCTTGCCCGGCGCTGGACTTCTAACGGGGACGAAGCGCGCGAGCGTGGGGGGGAAGCGCGCGAGCGTGGGGGGGGATCATCACCAGCACACACACACACACACACACATGGCCGGGCCGACGTGCGGAACACATGGAGGCCGCGCGCGGGATGCCCGTGCGGGAGCCCAGCGCACCTGGCCATGGGCGGGCCGAGCGCTGCCACAGCGCCGGGCCACACGTGTGTCCAGCTCTGGCCCAGGCCGGCCGCGCCATGCAAACGCAGGGCGAGCGGAGACAACGACAGCTCAAAATCGTCCCCCGGAGCCCTCCTGTGGTCCAGAGGCACCAGTTGCCCGAGCTCCGTCCAGCCGTGGTCAGGAAGGGGGGCCCTCGAAGGCCAACTGCCGTTGTTTCAACTCGCCCTCCTCTGAATCATGTGCTTCCAGCGGCCGCGCACATTTCGAGGCGACAGCCAGAGTCCCAAATGGGGTCCGAATACGACGCATAACGAACCAGTTGTCCTGTTCGAACTTTTCGCGGACAGTTCCCCTAAAACTTGCATTCTGATGGCATGGAAGATGGCGGTGGTGGTGGTGATGATGATGGATACTGGTGACGGCGACATAGATCAAAGTGATGACGAGATAGATGGTGGTGATGAGATGATGATGGCAGTGAAGCTTGGTGATGAGGCTTGATGCGGTCCACGAGTAATGATGTTGACGATATGGATAATGGTTACGCCGAGGGGATGATGGTGATGGGTTGAGCATTGATGATGGTGGTGCCGAAATAGGCGAGGGTGGAACTGGATGGTGATGATCACCAGGCGCAACAGGAGCCCGAAACTCACCGACCATGCAGAACAGGCAGACCGACAAGGCACACCAGGCACACCAAGCACACCGACCAGGCACAACGTGCACACCGACCACACCGACCAAGCACACCAGGCACACCAGGCACATCGCCCAAGCACATCGGGCACCACGACCAGGCAACCTGGGCACACCAGGCGCACCGACAAGGCACACCAATCACACCGCCAACTCCAAGAGCACCGACCAGGCAAAAAGATACACCAGGCACACCGACCAAGCACACCAAGAACACCGACCAGGCACGACAGGCACACCGATCAGGCACAACAGGCACACCCACCAGGCACAACAGGCACATCGACCAAGCACAACAGGCACAACAACAACCAGGCACGCCAGACACACCGACCAGGCACAACAGCCATAAAAGGCACACCGACCAGGCACAACAGGCACACCGTCCTTCAGGCACAACAGGCACACCGAACAGAAACACAAGACGCACCGACCAGACACAACTGGCACAACAGGCACGCCGCCCTCGAGGCACAACAGGAACACGAACAGGCACACAAGACGCACCGACCAGGCACAGCAGGCACAACAGGTACACCGCCCACGCACAACATGCAAAACAAGCACACCGCCCAAGGCACAACAGACCACACCGCCAAGGCACAACAGACACAACAGGGAAAACAAGCGCACGGACCAGGCACAACAGACACACCGACCAGGCACAACAGGCACAACAGGCACACCGACCAGGCACACACACACACACCAGGCACAAGGCACAAAAGGCACACCGACCAGGCACAACAGGCACAACAACAACCAGGCACAACAGGAACAGCAGGTACACCGACCAGACACACCAGACGGACCGACCAGGAATAACACACAGAACAGGCACACTGCCCACGTACAACATGCACAGCAGGCACACCGACTGGGCACAACAGGCACATCCAAGGCACAAAAGGCACAACCGGCACACCGCCCAGGCACAACAGGCACACCGACCAGGCACAACATGCGCAAAAGCCACACCGACCACGCACAACAGGCACACCGCCTAGGCACAACAGGCGCAAAAGGCACACCGACCAGGCACGGCAGGCACAACAGGCACAACAGGCGCACAGCCCAGGCACAACAGGCACAACGACCAAGAACACCGCCCAACACACATCAGGCACAGCGACCACGCCAAACAGGCACACCGCCCAGGCACGCCCGGCACAACAAGCACAACGATCAAACACAAGTGGCACAACAGGCACACCGCCCATGCACAACAGGCACAACAACCATGCACACTCGGGCACACCGACCAGGCACAACAGATACAGCAAGCACCGACCACGCACACCAGACACACCCACCAACCACAACAGGCACACCGCCCTAGCACACCAGACACACCGACTGCGTAGTAGGTACACCAGACAGAACAGGCACGGGTACCAAGCACAACAGGCACAACAAGCACAACGATCTGGCACAACAGGCAGACCGCCAAGGCAGAACAGGCATAACAAGCACGACGACAAGGCACGCCCGACACACTGGCCAGGCACAACAGGCACAACAAGGACACCGACCAGGCACAGCGACCATGCGCACCGACCAGGACCTGACACACCGACCAAGCAAAACAGGCAAAGCAAGCACTCCACCCAAGAACACGGGACACAACGCGCACACCGACCAGGCACACAACCACACAAAAGGCGGAGGAGGATGAGGAGGGGGAGGGGGGAAGAAAGATGCGCATTGCCT